CTCCTGTAATTCCCAAAGTCACCCTGTAAAGTGTCTCAGGAGGAAAAAGAACAAGCCATTCTTTATTGGGAAAGGTATATATGTCAGAGACAGGGAATAGTCAGGAACTGAGAGTCTCATAATGACAGCGTCTAAGACAGACATGGCCCTGTCCTCAGGCAGCTTAGCGGTTGGTGGATAGCTGAGCCCTACCAGGAGGCCGGCCCCCCAGTAAAGAGTCCTGACGCCTTCTTTCACTTACTATTCACAACAGACTGTGAGAAAGGTCTTATGAACCTCATGTGGTAGATGAAATAACCCAAACTCCCAGAGGTTAAGTGACCCAAGTGAACTCACCGGGCTGATAAGGGGGTGAGCCACTGCTCAGACCTGGGCTTCCTCGGTCCAAGGCTGCCAGTCGTGTCCTGGACCCTGACCTAGTAGTGTAACTTCATGTTAAGTCAGATCAATTCAAGCTCTCTCTTCCAGTTTCCCACATCCCCTGGTTTCCCACATCCCCTGGTTTCACTTAGAAAGGCAATTGGTGCAACACACAACAGATACTGAACATCCAAAATCAGTAACTTTAAGGACCTAAGCGTTATACAGTCACAAAAAAGAGCATGGGAATGTCTTTGTGAGACCGTGGTAGGGCCAGTGTAGGGGGGAGGGGCCGGGGGGGGGTTGAGTGTGGGGTGGAAAGACGGTGAGAGGGTTAGCGCACAGAGGTGATCCAGGAATTCCCAAAGGTTGGTCCTGACTCAGTGAATTGTCAGGTCAGTTTGAAATGACTCACTTGTGGCATGGGGCAAACAACCTCAGTCAGTCCCTCACTAAACTGTCGGGAAGCAGGCAGGCAAAATATTTCCTCCTGGAAGAATTTGCATGGCCCCCTAACCTTTGTGAGGCACCTTCCCACTCGGTGCTTCATCTGCCGATTGTTACAACTTGCACATATGCAGCAGGGAACCAGGCTTCGTCGGAGATGGCCTCGTTGAGCGGTTTTTATATAACTTTTTCAAAGTAAAATCCTTTGTGGAAATGAAGCCTCCCACAGTCCTCTAAGGTTATCAAACTGATAAGCTTGGAACTTTTGCGCTTCGAATGGGGTCAGGGTGGGGGGAGGCACAGCCCCCGCTTAAGCCTTTGCTTTGATCTCTGTGTCTGTCTCTGAGGGTCTCCAGGAACCTGCAAGTTCTATGAAACGCGGTAAGACAATGTAAACACATCGTTGCAGTGAATACCATCCCATTTCACTCCCCTCTTGCAACAAGGCCCTGGAAGTAATGGGAGATCTGCGAGGTCACTCCTGGGCCAGTGCCCTTTCCAGGGAACTCACTAGGCCTGGCTTCTCAGGTGATTAAAGTCTGAAGATCTTCTTGGGGGGCAGCAGCCTGCCCCCATGTGTTTCAGGAAGGCGGTGCCTCTTGGGGACAGACAACTCTGCCACTACAGGCAGCATTTTTCAAAGCGCCTGCCTTTCCGATAGGGGTCAGAGGCACCGTTCTCTTTCTTCTAGCTGGCACTTCTTCACCCTCCCCCACCCCCTCCCCTGAATCTTGAAACTGGCCACTGGTGGCTGGGGAGCAGGTCCCTGAGAATGCAGGAGGAGCAGCCTACACTCAAGCAGGCTCTCCCCAACTCGAACCCTTACACTGAACTGGAAAGCCTTTGTTATTGGCTGCATGTTTGTCTCCCCCAAATTCATATTTTGGACTTAACCCCCAGTGTGATGGTATTTGGGGGTGGGGACTTTGGGAGTAAATGGTCAGGAGGGTGGAGCCCTTATGAAAGGGATTAGTGCTTTATAAGAAGGACCCACCAGCAAGCTTGGCCCCTCCCCCACCCGATCTCAGTCTCCCTCTCTGTTTCCCTCTCTCCCTCTCCCTGCCTCTCTCCCTCTCTTCTCCTCCCTCCCTCTCCCTCTCCTTTCCTCCCTCTCTCCTTTCCTCTCTCTCTGTCTCTCTCCCTCCCTATCTGTCTGCCTCCTTCTCTGTCTCTGTCTCTCTCCCCCTCTTCATGTAAGGATAGAAGACAGCCAGCCCTCTGCAAACCCAGAAGACTGTTCTCAGCAGAACCCAGCCGTGCTGGCGCCCTGATGTGGGACTTCCCAGTCTCCTGAACTGTGACAAATAAATCTCTGCTGCGTAAGCCATCCAGCCTGTGATGCTCAGTTCTGGCAGCCCAAGCTGACCAAGACGGTGGTGATAGCCACACAATTCTGTGTGAACGCAATGCTGAGGGCCACTGTATGGCTGCAATGGTAAATGTTAGGATATGTGTATTTTAGCACAATAATAATAACAACAACAATAACAGCAGCAAGAACAACAATAATAATGAAAGTTCTATGGCTCACTATTTCCTAGGGGTCAAGTTCAAACTTCCTGGCATAGTCTATGACCTGAGCTGGCGGGGGGGGGGGGTGGAGAGGAGGGTCCTGTTTACCTCTCTGGCCTCCCTTCTTGCTGTCCTCCCTCGATATCTTCATCTAATCGAACATGCAAGCCGCTCTATGACATTGCCTGAGCAAGTCATGTGCTTTCACTTTTCCCTGCTTAGTCACAATTTTGCTTTTAGTCATGATAGCAAACACATTTACGGAGCTTACTATATGCATATATATATACATATAGTGCTTAATATATGCAGGACTTTTGAGTCATTTACTGCTCACCAATCCTACGGAAAGGACACTGATATTAACCCCATGTTAGATGTGAGAAAAACCGAGGCCTAGAGGCTAATTTACTTGCTTAAGGTTGCACAACGCAATGTACGAGGCCAGGCGTCCTGGTTCCTAAATCCTTGCAATTAATTACTACAGAGTAATGCTGTTGCTGGATGTCTTGTGCCCTTGCCCTTTCTTCTGAAGAATCCCTCCTCCTCCTTCAAGACCTCAAATATCACCTCCCTTGGGAAGGCCCCCTGGTCTGGTGTTCCCCAGGAAAGGGTGCAGTGCTCTGCGGGCTCTCTTCTCTCAGATGGATATAGCAAGATGGCTATCCATAGCGATCTTCTGCCGTGGATATTGTCACACATATTTCACAGCACATTTCTTATTGTGTGGTGACAGCCGGCTTGTGAGTCTGATTCCCCGCCAGAGTGTGAGGCCCCTGAAGATAGATAGGGCAGATCCTTTCCATCTTGATACTCTTGAGCGAGCGCTCGCTACATGCTTGATGAATAAGGAAAGCTGCATGCACTTTCTCTCAATTTTTCAATTTCTTTCAATAAGTAACAAAATCAAAAGGGAATTCCTTTGGCTCAGGAATGCTAGCCTGGCAAGAATTCAGTCCCACAGTCCCTGACAGCCATTACCATTTTCTATGTACCCCACCAGGCGAGAAGCCCATTCAGATACACTTTCAGTGATCCACATGAACAATAAACACTGCTTTTGCTTTTCAAATGTCAAATCACTGGATGTTACAGGTAGATATGAGATTATAATGCAAAGTATGATTTTTCTTTTTTTTTAATTTTTTAAATGTTTTATTTATTTTTGACACCGAGAGAGAGAGAGAGAGAGAGAGAGAGAGAGCGAGCATGAGTGGGGGAGGGGCAGAAAGAGAGGGAGACACAGAATCCGAAGCAGGCTCCAGGCTCTGAGCTGTCAGCACAGAGCCCGACGCGGGGCTCGAACCCATGAACTGTGAGATCATGACCTGAGCCGAAGTCGGACGCTCAACCAGCTGAGCCACCCAGGCGCCCCTCAAAGTATGATTTTTCTAACGCGAAATCCCTCCGGGGACCATCTCCCTCCCCTTTCTGAGATGTATTGGGGAGGACAGATAGGGGCAAGTGGATTAATGTTTGCTTAGCTAGGAGTATAAATAGGAGCAAGAGAGAGTGGGTGGATATTTGGTGGGTGAGAGGGTGGATAAAATGGCGAATGGAGATGTGGATGATGGGCACTGGATAGATACACTGAGGAACAAATGTGGCTGGCTGGCTGGCTGGCTGGAGAGGAGGACAGTATACAGATGGATGGATGTAGGGTTATGAAGAGGTGTGGAAAAGTGTATGGGAAGGTGGAGGAGAAGTTGTACGGGAGGGTCGTTGGAAGAAGAAGTGGGAGATGGATGGCTAGAAGAAAGGATGTGCCGTTGGACAAGTGGATGGAAGGGGGTGGGAAAGATGCAACAGCCCTGTAGGATGTGAGCAAAGACGGGTAGAAGATGAATGGGCAGGTGGAACGATGTTTGGGAGGATGAATGAATACAGGTGACTGGATGGATGAATGAGTGGATGGGTCCAGGTGCCAGCCTGGGACTGGAAGATGACACATGGGTTGGAGGAGGGAAAGAGCAGCCCCCTGGCTGGCCATCCTTAGCTTTCTCTGAGCCGCCCTGGTAAGAAGGAAAACTCCACTCCGCTTCTCTTTCAGGGGAACAAGAGTGCGCTCGTCCTCTTCCCCTGGGAAGAATCACAAGCTCCCCACCCCTCCTTGCCACCGTGAGCTGGGGAGCGCCACTACCCAGTGCCGGACCTCGCCCCCATCCCATCTCCTGTCCCAGAATATCCAGCTGCCGGTGAAATCCTAGAGATCACTCTCCAGCGCCATTCACAGAGAAACCTAGCGGAGAGGAGGGGTCGGAGGCTCAAACCCAACCGGGCTAAGATTTCAGGACGGGCCATCCCCTGGCCCGTCCAGAGGCCGCCCTTCCAGCGGGCCGGGAAAGGAAACCGGTGCGTCCCGGGGCTCACGGGCACCCCCGGGGCCCCCGCGGCGCCCGTTAAGGCCGCCCGCGTTTACGGTCTCTGCGCGGCTCCGGGCGCGGGGCGGGGGCGGAAGGGCCAGCGCAGGGGAGGGCTGCTGCGTCTTTAAACCTCTGCGGGCTGCTTAGTCACAGCCCCCTCGCTTGGGTGTGTCCTGCCCTCGCTCCCTCCCTCCCTCTTAGGTCACTCTTTCAGCCCTTGAATAAAAACTGCACCCAACTTCCCAGGCGCCCTCATTGCCCAGCCGGACCCCAGCCCCCGATAGGCTCGGGCCGCCCAGCTCGCCCCGTGCTCCGCCGGCCCCCGCCCAGCGCACCGGACCCCACCCCCGGCGCCCCGCGCTCGCCCCCTCGGTTCGCTCTCACCATGGACAAGTTTTGGTGGCGCCTAGCCTGGGGACTGTGCCTCTCGCAGTTGAGCCTGGCGCAGATCGGTGAGTGCCTCGGGGGCAGCGGGAGGGAGTGGCCCGGGCGGCCGGGACGGACCCTGCAGCCACCTGGCTGAGTGGGCCCCCGGGGACGGGAGGCCAGCGGGCGGCGAGCGGCGTGGACTTGGTGAAGGAGAGCGGGGCGAGGATTTGCGCTAAGTTCTCGGAGTGTGGGTTGGTGCGAAGCACCGTTTTGTTGAAAGGAAAAGAGAAAGAGCGAAGAAAGTTGGCCGGGCCGGCTGCCTGCGCGCAGTTTTGGGTGAGGTCGCCGGTGCCGGAGCACAAGGCAGAAAGTAACTGTACTCCAGGGTGCGCGCCGCCGGTGTCTGGACCAACGGGCTCCTGTGCCCAAGGGCGCTGGAAGCCTGGCTGGGCTGTCCCCGGGCAGGGCAGGGCTAGGCGGGGCAGGGGCCGGGGCTACTGACCAGGTGGCCACAGAGGTGTTGGTGTGAGAGCTGGTGGCCATGAGCCTTCCAGAAAGGGGTGCCGGCGCCCTGCGGCTCCCCACCCCGCCTGGGTTCCAAAGCTCTTACAGTTGGCTCCAGTCACTGACTAGCGCTTGTGGGAACTTGAACCAGCTCTGTGAGGTTCTGGGTTTCCACGAGGTGCCAGCCTGGGGCAGGGAGTGTGAGGTGGAAAAGCAATGACTGAACCAGCTACTCAAACCTCCTGCTCCTGCCAATCAGTTAGGGGAAATCCAGACAGTAAGGTGGCTCATATTCCCAGCCTGGCAGTCTCAGAGCAGGGAGGGGGGTGGGGGGGTGGGGGGGTGGGGGGAAGCCTGGGCATCAGGGTCGTGTTAGGGACCCTGGACCTGGGGCTGCTGATACCCCCATCCAAACAGGGGCTGTATCTTTCAGTGACTGTGGAGTGGGTGTGGGCATGTGAGGTAGTCTGGTGAGACCGAACTCCAAGCGTTCCTTCCCTTTGTCTATATATGTACAGATAATTACATGGCTGATTTGCTTATTGCTAGCAAAATTAATTCTTCTTTTAAGAAGTGCCAGCTGGGTCATTAAGACAGCTCAGCCTATGGTTAATTCTGCTCGGCAAGTATTTATTAAACCCAGCTCTGGGGGGTACCAAGAAAGTAAAGATACAGTCTTACCTGGATCCTGCAGACTGGGAATAAGTGGGGATCAAAGATTCAGATTCCTGAAACACATCAAGAATAATAATGATAATAATCATAATAATAGAAGAAATGACAGCACCAGCCAGCATTTTACCGCACGCTTTCACTGTGCCGGGCACTGTGCTCAATGTTTACAAGTGTTGCCTTATTTTGCCCTTACGGTGGCCCAGCGAGAAGCGTCCTGTTACTAGCCCGGCTTCAGGAGGGAAACAAACCGAGACTCAGAGAGGTTAAGTAACTTGCCAGTTCTCACACAGCCAGAAGGATTGGTGCGCATGTGAACCCAGGTCCATTAGTCTGTGTTTAGTGGGAGTACGTTAGACTGTATGTATGGCATGGGCATACTCGGAAAGAGTCTGGGGATGGAGGGTTGAGGTGGACCCGAGGCCATCGGAGGCTTCCAAGGCGACCTGAGCTCCAACAAGTCACTGAAAGGCAAAAACACTGGGACGCCAGAGAAGAGAAAACCTGGAGTGCAGGAAGAGCCCTGGCCTTCTCTGAGACCTCCAGGGAACTTTATTTGTACATTACCTTCTGGTGATGTCTTCTGCTTTGTTTCTGAGGATTCTGACTCTTGACTCCTTCCAACCTGCCTCCCTGATTCTTCTTAAGGGTCGCATCCCCAAATATTTGACACCATCCTGACCCAGAGACCAGAGGGTTCACTCCTGCCCCACGTTTTCATGCTCCTTTTGGGAAGTGTCCTTTGGAGGAAGCACAAAAAAGTGCCAGTGGCAGTAACTGCCTGGGCCTTGGCTTTCATGTGCTTGTAACATTGTTTGGAAGGAACTGAGACTTGGAAGGGAGATGCGACTTCACAGCAGCTTGGCGGGGCAGGCAGAGAGGGGAAGGAGGCAGAGGAGGGGGAGGAGAGGCAGTTCTTTTGCCCCAGGATCCCAGTTGGGGGTGGGGGACCTCCAGAAGACAATGAGGAAACTTTGGAAAGGAGCAAGGCTTTGGGGAGGAAGAAAGGGTCCATCCTTCATATCCGGAAGCAAAAAGTAGAGAAATGGCCAGATGTAGTTAAGCAACACTGGACAAGAAATTAAGTTGGAGGACACTATGAATTAGGTGTCATATGCAGGAAGTAGAAAGTGGCCCTGGGTGGAGGACAAGTGGGATGAGCCCTCCCACGTCTCGTGTCTCTTTTCTCCTGTGGGCCAGAGGTCACTGCTGGGGAATTGCGCCCCTGGTGTTGAGAAAGAGGGGTACATCAGAGAGCTCTTGGGGGTGACAAGTGCCCTTCTGCTCCCTGGGAGTATTAGAGACCCCTCTTCCTGGGAGTTAGGGCTTTGGCTGTGTTTTCCCAGGTGGAGAAGCAAGAAATCCATCACTACTGAGGTTAGCATCAATTAATTCAGTTATTCCCCAGATACACATTGGACATCTCATTTCCTGCCAAGGCGCCGTGCCAAGTAGGTGTGTGTGAGGCTGGCGGCCAGTAAGAAATGGTTCCATTTTCTTCCAAATTGCCCCACGCAGAAGCAGCATGGGCAGCATGAAATTCTTAAGTTATGACAGATCCCCTTCCATTCATTCAACAAGTATTTCTTGACTCATTGTCATAGACTCACCAATGGGGACTCCAAGGACCATTTAGAAAATCCCTTCTTTTTCCCATGGAGGAAGCAGACCCTGAATAGGAGGGAGGAGTGACTTTCTCTCTCGCAGCAGACGTAGGGCTGGACATCTTCCATCCATGGGGCTCTGAAATACCCCCATCACCAAGGACTCCACCTCTGTCCCCGGGGTGAGCCTAACACTGGTTACACACCCTAAATGCTACCTTCCACATTCACTACAATTTTTTATTTTCCTCTGTAATATACACGGTTTGAGCTTAAGATAAAGAATAATGGTATATATTTCTTACCACAAAACAAAAGTGCTTCTCGAGGAAGAGGCTCTGTACTGTCCTAGGGCCTCTAGGGCCTCCTTGGAGGATGGCTAAATCCCTCAGAGGTAAGAGCACCCCTGTTGTAAAAGCCTGACGCTCCTATTGCAAAGTAGGGTTCTAAGTCCCAGGAAATGCATTTACTGAGCACTGGCTTTGTGCTAGGCATTCCGCCAGGGGGTTTGAATAGATTATTCTATGGAAGCCTCATGACGTGCTAAATATGTTTAGTTAACCCCATTTTCTAGATCAAGAAACTGAGACTCAGGGAGGTGTTATGACTTGCCCAAGGACACACAGCTAGTAAATGGTGGAGCTGGGATTTCCCATTGTCTAACACCCCCCCACCCCGTGTTGGACTCCAATGTTAACGCCCCTTTGATTCACTGCTTTGGAAATTGCATGCGTATGTCGTTCCCATATCCTCCCCATCCCTTGTGACCAGCTAACGTGAAGCCTGGTGTGAATGGCTTTCTCGCTCCGCCTGGCAGGCTGTGGACTCCCGGCTGCTCTACCCTGCCCTACCCTGGACTCTCTCTCCCTAGGCTTGGCCACAGCTGTCAAGAGATGCCAACCTAGTGATTTGTTACTAAAATAAGTCAATTCCCTTATCAGCGTCCAGCTGCCCTTCTAGACATGCTCTCATTTGCAGGCTTGGAAAAAAGGGAGAGGCTGTTCCTTGTCTAAGAGACAAGTTAGGGCAATGTCCTCTGCCTGAAAATGAAGAAAGAGGGCCTGCCTGCGGAAGCCCTCACCCCAACTCTGCCAGCATTTTGGATGCGTTGACCCAGAAAGCCCCTCCTCACATGCTCACTGGAAACCTTCAGTGTTTGTTTAGCAGACTGTACGTGCCCCAGAGAGGGAAAGTCTTGAGGACCTGGGTGGCAGGCTGACATGGGTTTCTACAAAAGTCAAGGATCTTGAACTGAAAGGCAGAGTGGAGCAGTCTCCCAGGTGGGATTTGAGATCAGTCTGCAGTGTCCAGGCTGTTAGTTCCAAGCTGGGGTTCCCTGACAGAGTGGAGGTGGGCTGGTGCTGTATCTCCCCATCACTAGGTCCTGGCTGGGGCTGGGCTGGGGCTGGGGCTGGGCTGGGGCTGGGGCTGCTGGCCAGGACAGGCTGGGTCTGGCTGGGGTTGGGGCTGTGCTGAGGCTGAGGGCTGGGCTGGGGCTGGGGCTGGGCTGGGGCTGGGCTGGGTCTGGGCTGGTTGGGGGCTGCTGAGGCCGGCTGGCCGCTGAGGCTGGGCTGGGGCTGGGGTCTGGGCACAGGGCAGTGGTCTGAGCTGTGTTTCCAGCACCTCTGTTCAGCCAACTGCACCCAACAATAAAAAGGCCAAGTGACTTTGTGAAAAAAGAAGAGATGAAGCAGGTGGCAGATGCTGACAGACAAAGCATGTTTCTCAAAGGGGATCTTTTTTGCTTCAGAAAGAAATTCTGGGGGATTGCACAGTGAGAAGCAGATGAGTCAATTTCCTTTGTGTCCCTGCTTGAATGGGAAGCACACTAGTGTTCTTTAGAATCATCAGGGTAGACTAGTGCCTCCTACCTTAAATTCAAACCCCACTTTTCACACGCTGAGCAAGTTGAGATATTTTCTTTATAAAATGTGCTCCTCCAGGGGCACCTGGGTGGCTCAATCGGTTAAGCGTCTGACTTCGGCTCAGGTCACGATCTCGCGGTTTGTGGGTTCAAGCCCTGCGTCGGGCTCTGTGCTGACACCTCGGAGCCTGGAGCCTGCTTTGGATTCTGTGTCTCCCTCTCTTTCTGCCCCTCCCCTGCTCATGCTCTGACTCTGTCTTTCAATAATAAATAAACGTTAAAAAAAATTTTTTTAAGTGTACTCCCCAAAAGCTGGCCATCAAGGGTTTGGGAAGCCAGACCAATCCGGCAGAGTTAGGAAGGGGTGTTTCCTAGTCTGTGGTTGTGGAATCTGGCTTGGCGTGGATAAAGTGATGGTGCATGCCAAATTTTCTAGGAC